TCAGGCCCTCAAAGTTCATCTCAACCCGAACTCACCTGCAATATGTGGAGGAAACACTGCAATATACTTCAAATCCGATTGCTTAACAACTTCCAGCATCCGCTTGTGCTCGGCATTGATCTCAGTGAACATGGGCGGCACTTTGTCGGGTTCATAGAAGAGAAAAGCGGACAGGCAAATGGATATGACGTCCACATTGGCTTCTCTGGCCGCTTTCACGATGTTCTTCATGCCCTCGCTCAATTCTGTCGTGGGCTTCAGGTCATTTCTCGTCCCCAAGACCACCACAATGCGCTCAGTGCCTCGAACTGTCCTCAAAACATCCTCATAGTTTAACACGTTGCCCTCCACAGCCTCCACTTGCTCTTTCAAAGGGGCTGGCAGTTTTAAGGGGTCTCTGACCAGGACTTTGACTTGCAGCCCTAAAACCCATGCGGATTGTGCCTCAAAAGGCTTGAAACGAGTGAAAGTTGAAGGTGGGTACCTTTTTTAACTGCTGCCTCTGTTGCGCACAGCCCGGTTGTGCCGGTGGAACCGAAAATTGCTGTTGCTGCCATAATTGAGCCCATTAAAGGAATGAATTGCCAATTTACGCCAAGACAATGAAATCAACGGGGACCTAACCTCCAAAAGTCGTCACGTAGCACGATGCCTAGTTCGGTTTTTATCAATTATAGCTGGAAAAGGCGTGTTTCCCATTATACTTATTCGGATTTTCGCGTCCAGCCCTTCCTTTCTTTTGGACATTCTGTTTTTTTCAGGCAGGCAGGCAACCGTTAGAAACTATGTCAAATTATTGCAGGTTAATTTTAAAATGGTGCTGTTCAAAATTTTGGCTCCGCGAAGCGTTGCTATTGCCATGGTTACTCACCATACAAACAAACAAACAAACGAAATAGCAGTTCAAATGTTTTAGGTGACATATTTGAAAAGTACCCAGACGGAAATCGCCTCTTCCAAATCCGCAGGCAAAGCGATCAACCGCAGAGCCGCAAAATGAGAAGCGCCGTGGTGATTCTGATCCACAAAGTGCTGGACGGCCAGATCGTGTCCAGCATCATGGACGAGAACAGAGGCAGCCCCCTAGTGATCCGCAGCCTGGCCAAGAAGACGGGGCCCCAATTCGATTTGGAGGGCTACGATGAGGCGAAAGTGTGCCTGAATTTCGCCCACTTGTTGGCGGACGATACGATAACAATTCGAGCTGTGGGGGAGGAGGCGCTTGAGTCGTCGCTGGTCATGGGGTTGAACTTTCCCACCTTAACCAAGTGCCAGAACTGCGAGACGAATTTCCCCACCAAGTACCAGTATCAAAGGCACCAGTGCGACTTCAATGAGGAAAAGCTGGTTTACAAGAATCCAGACGCACCCGCTGAGAAAAATGAGCGTCAATCACGGTTACATGAATGTCCCGTGTGTTTCAAGGTGAGTGTTTACAGACTGTCCAAAATAATGGGAATTAGTGAGGGGTCTTATGTTCATTAATAGTGTA